ACAGCTCAAAATAATGATATAACGGCCTCTCTCCTGCTGTTACTGCACATCCTGCAAATATGCATCATCTTGCTCGCTGGGACACCAGTGACACCACCACGCTGGCAGGGCCGGGTGTGACCGGTGGCCGAGGACAGGTCCCTCTCTTCGTGCGCCGGGCACACGGGCTTGCAGGGCGAACTGCTTTCCCGGACCCCCGTTGTTCTGCTTCCAGGAGGGCCTGAACTGGATGGGGAAGCAGTTAGGCTCCAGACTTCGGAAAGACTTTTACAGCATGGTAGTTATTTATAGAAGCCTGAAACAGAAGCAAGAGCCTAGAGAGCAGAAAGAAAGAGGACACGGCAGGGCTATAGCCAGGTCTGGCATGTCTCTGTACAGCATCGTGGCTTAACTGCAGGGCTTGCAGTACACACGCATGGGAAAGTTCCCTTTCGGGCCCCATGCGATGTTGCCACACAGCTTCTCATTGCTCTTTTCACCCCCTGCACCCCCACCGCCGTGAAATGGGCTCAGTATTTCCCCCACAGGCAGCGGTGACTGGCAGCAGCTAGCGAAGGCGGATCTGACCTGCTGCAGAGCCTCCCCGCTGCTGAATGGGGCAACACCTGCCCCCAGGCAAGATGCATGTGGCAGCTGGAGGTAAAGGAGAATGTTTCTCATCTGGTTTTCATTTCCACTGCAGGGGAAAGCTGTCAACAGCACTGGAGATTGGGAGTCCTAGGGAGACCAAACTAGAATTTAATGGTAGGGAAGAAATCAGTCGGCTTCTAAGGCCCCTACGCCTTGGGCTGGGCTTTTCCCAGCCGTCTCCAACACCATCAGCATCTTTGCCCTGCTCTTTCTCTGGGGTAGGGTGAAGGTGCATGGAGCGGCGGACCCAGCACAGCACCCTTTCTGGGAATATGAAGCACCTTGTCCACAGGAGAGCAACCTCCCCGGCCAGGCACCCAGCACCAGCCAGCTGAGCGCGGGGCCGGGACCTGGGACCGGGGCCACTCCTTTTAGCTCACCTGTGGTACAGCAGTTCCTCCAAAGCTGGCTTTGGCTCCGCTGGTCTCCTCTACTAACGTCCTCAACGGCAGGGCCAGTCCGAAGTGGTCTCCAGATGGATGCCTGTCCCTGCTCTGTGCAAATACCTCGAAGCCTGGAGGGGCTGCACCCAGGCAGATGAGATCTCACCGGTGGCTGCTCAGGCACAGATGCACAGCAGCCTGCCTGCGCACCCTCTGCCTGGGTGCAGTACAGAGAGCAGCTCCCTGCCTCCACAGGAGTGGGGCCAGAGAAATGAAAAGGAAGGATGCAAGAGGCAGGATCCGGTATTCAAGAAAAAGTCTTTATTGTACATGTTGGCTTCTATTGCTTGTATCCCCTCCCCAACCCCATGTAGTGCAAAAAATTCAGAGAAACAGAGTTCCACATAAATAAGTCAGATAACTTACAGAGAAATCAAAATGACGACGGTTTGACATGGAGTAGACCGGGTCTGCCTACGAGTAAGGCCAAGCAAACCTCTGCCCTCACATCGGGGCGAGGGGTCCTGCCTAGCCTTGCCGTCTCACTGCAGACTGACACCGGGGTCCCTGGGCAAAACACATCAACACACACAGCCTGGAGCCACCCACTCGGGGATGCTCCTCCGCTGGGAAAAGCTCACATGGGAAATCACACAAATAACATTTTGGGTGAGACACCACTAACTAAAACTGGCAGAAAAGCCACACAGAGTTGACAGTTCTCCTCCCCTCAGATAGGGTACTACGCACAGACAGACAGACAGAGACGCACATCCCCTCCGAGGCCTCCAGCTCAGCAAGGGATGCGCAGCACCAGAAGCAATTCCACCCCGGGATCTCCCAGGGCAGATGCTGACACCTCGTGTCCACACAGTGCGGGTCGGGGTGCTCCGGACCCCCGCAAGCTGCTGGGGAACTATTTTGCCCTTTCCTTCCTTCTTTCTCCTTTACAGGAAAGCAGTGAGCACCTGCATAGTTAGTACATCAGAGACACAAAAGGCTCCCTCCTCCCCAGGATTCTGCAGAACAGGCTCAGTGGTGATATTGCTGCCTGTTTCCCTGATCCTCAAGAGGCAGGACAGCATTGCACGCCATTTGTGGTGTAAATTGCTAAAGATTACAACTGGGGCCAAGGGCACATGGCACAAAAATTCTCCTCAGCCTGCTACACTGCTCGCTTCCCCTCTGGTTTTGCCTGCCTGCCGCCCCCCCCAAGGCAGCAGCCCCCCCCTTCACACTACAGCAGCCACAACCGGACCAGAAGCCGAGCCACTGCTGGAACGACTCATTCCTCGTTTGAAATCAGCTGTTTCTCCCTTCAGCAGTTCCTCTCTGGCCCTGCACTGTCCTTCCTTGTCATACAGTGTTCCCTTCAGCAGGCTGGCTGGGCTCCGCTGTCCTTACGCCATTCCTCACACAGAGGCCTCGGCATGGCGGGCCAAGGCCCCGCACCACCACCTTTCACTTCTGACGTGGCCGCGGGGCTTTTAGGCTGATCCTCCTTCAAAGAGGACCCTAGAGCCAGGGGCACCTTGAATGTGCTGGTCGATGGGAGTCCAGCAGAAGACTAAAATCCTGATGTTGCTTATAGGAATGGGAAGAAAAGGATTGAGACCTCGCTCACGCATAGGCACACGCACGCACACGCACACAACAGAGCAGACTTCACCGATTTCATCGTTATTTCGAACAAAGCAGATTCACGAACAAAGCAGATTCACGAGACCTACTTAGGGCAGCCCTACTGCCACGCTGACCAAGAGGCAACCTGCACGAGCAGAGCCTGGACATTTGCAGGGTCCTCTGCAACACAGAGGAATGGGAGAGCTGCCGAGCTGTGACAGGCTGGGGCAGAGGCTTGGCAAGTGAGAGGGGAATGAAAAGCAAATTTAGAGTCTGTTCTAAAAGCCAAAAAGGCCTCCTCAGCCTGAGAAGCCCAGACTGTCCTTGGGGAGAAGCTGGGGGGAGAAGCAGCCCAGATTTTCAGAAGCTACTGGTAATTTCAGGCGTCCAACATTAGGCACTGTAAGTGGGCTTGTAAAACATGCAGGCACCTGTCCAGGAGAAATCAGATCACTGTAAAAATTGTCTTAAGTTGGGGAGTCCCTGTCTCATCTCAAACTCTCCTTTCACCCCAAAGAAAAGAGAAAGGAAGAAATCCCTAGCCACTTGAAAATTTAGGCCAACAAATACCATCACAAGTGAAATCTGAACTCTGTAAATGAGAAATGAGAAGGAGCAGGGGAAAAAGGATAAAGGAATTAGTTCAAAACAAACAGTTAGACCATATTTCCAATGCTACATTTGAACACTATTGAGGTACCAGTGGTTGAGTCATTCCTCTCTAATGTGGAGAACACCTGATAATACGTCTCAGTTCAAGGCTCATACACACACCCTACAGCATACGCATTGAAAACACCACCCAAGAGGTTCCATGGCACAAGTGGATCTAGGACAGGCCTGTGACTTACAGTACTAATTTATCCAACCTTTAGTTAATTAAAGTGGTTGCTTAATTGCCAGGGAGTCACTAATTGCAAATGGTCCCTTCCATGCTGTTTTCACTGTACATATGGTATCTCACACATGCACACACACCCACACATCTATAGAGAACGTCTTCCAGGACACAGTCATCATCTCATCAACAAACGAGAAAAGTAATTGCATCCCTTCTGCTGCAGATGGGATGGGGAATACCAGGATAGTGTAAAAAATAAAGGGATATGAAGTCATTAAAAAATAAAATATTAGCATTCACATAAAAAAAGGCAAAAAATTAACACCCAAAAAAGTAATGCCAGGCAATCCTCCTCATTTAGAAGGCTGGACTGTTCTTGTTTAAGAACCGATACCTTTCCATAAAACCATGGAATCTGCTTTGCAGAGAGGGGAACAGCAAACAGGCTGATCCGTTCCCAGCCAAACTGTGAACCAGGACCACGTGCAGAGAGCAGGCACTGCACAGTCACTTGAACCTGGGACAGCAATGGCATGGATGCAAACAAGGTCATTCAACCCATCTGCCCGGCTGGGGACTCCCCAGAGCAATGGTCAGCTGGGATCTTAGTGAATGAGGTGGGGCCAGCTGAGTATGGAAACACTGGAGGGTTCAGGATGCTGCATCCAGTTTTGTCTTCAAATCTCACCTCCTCCAGGCTCTGTCCCTTAGCTGGGCTTCTTTTGTTTGTGGATTTTAAGGCATCAATTAGACACCATTGAGAACCATACAGTGGCCTCAGAGTCTTTAACAGTGCACAATAGGCTTGGTAAAGAGTTTGGCTACAGTGACATTCAGAAGAATGGTTGCACATTCAGCCGTGTCCTTGGGAGGAGTGCTGTCCACCTCTGCCACCCCACAGGACTCCTGGAAGCCTCCAAGGCTGGCTCTGCTCGTATGTGTGGCACCGGCTGGATCACGTGAATCCAAGAAGCAGCAATGGTTTAAAGTTTTCCCTCCCCAAAGAAAAGATACACCCTTTGGGTGAGTGGTGAGATGAGTCTGAACGGAGCAGAGAGCACCCCCTCTCCTCGCCCTCTAGAAGGAGGGTGCTCATCCAAGAAAGCACATTTCTAACTGCTGCGGTCGTGCTGATCCGATGTGTGCACCGAGAGTGGGGATGGCTCCGGGGGTTCACAGGAGTGCTGGGGAGGCTGGAGCCACCAGCCGGTACCTTCGTTCTCCTCCTACAGCGACCGGCTGCCCCGCGGGGCGGGCCACGCTGGCCTAGCGTTCCGCCAGGCACCCCTGTCCCCTTGAGGTAAGGTAGGTCCTGATTCTTTGTCAAAGGCTCGTCGAAGACACCGACAGGGTGGGCGAGGAGGGGGGCGGGAAGTTGAGGAGTTCCAGCACAGCCACCCCGACGCTGCTCCGGCGTGTGAACATCCTACAGCGACCGGCTGCCCCGCGGGGCGGGCCACGCTGGCCTAGCGTTCCGCCAGGCACCCCTGTCCCCTTGAGGTAAGGTAGGTCCTGATTCTTTGTCAAAGGCTCGTCGAAGACACCGACAGGGTGGGCGAGGAGGGGGGCGGGAAGTTGAGGAGTTCCAGCACAGCCACCCCGACGCTGCTCCGGCGTGTGAACATGCATGAGGCCGCTACCCACTTGTTGGTACGGGGGTTGTACTTCTCGATGGAGTTTAGGCTGGAGCTCCCATCGTTGCCACCCACTGCGTACAGCCACCCATCCATGGCCACCAGGTCGTGGGTGCTCCTGGAACGACCATGCAAAGACCACAGGGATGTGAGGCTCAAACACGGCGTATGTGGGGTGTAGGGGAGCTCAGCACCTCAGATGAACAGGCCAGAGCTCTGTCACCCCACAAAAAGGAGTGCCCAGCCTCACAAATGCCCAGTGAAAATGAACTACTGGGGCTCAAACAGTCAGTCAGTGGCAGAGTGCAGTACAGAGCCTCAGATCTTCCCCTTCACTCTGATACCCTCCTCCCACTGGAGAAGTGCCACCTCTAAATAACAGGCCCTAGGAGCCTAAAATCCTTGGACTTCCAAACCTTAAATCCTCCTGCAGCCCAGCAACACCTCCTAGGTGGCCTCAGCCAGCCATACCACCTGGTTCTTTATGGCCACACAGACTGCTGAGAATAAATCTCTCCGCAGAAACGCCTGCTGCAGAACGTCCCTGCTCTGCCCTCCTGGCACACAGGCACCAGTCCCTCACAGCGCAGCGGGGAGCGTGGGGTGCCTTTACGCAAGCAGCACAGAGCCAGCCAACTGCAGCGTTAGCCAGGCCCTGGGGCATGGTCTGCATTTTACGGTTTGCAGTGCCAAGCAAGGCAAGGCTCTCTGTGAGATGGGATCCCCGTTCCTGACTGCTGCAGCTGAGGCTCCCCTGCAGCTCGGGAGCGTGGCAGGGGCAGAGCTCCTTACCTACGGATGTTCATGGGCGCCACGCTCTCCCATGTGTTGGTTTTGGGGTTGTAGCGCTCAACAGAGTTAAGGCAGCTGGTCCCATCGTTGCCACCAGCCACATAGAGCATCCCCTCCAGCACGGCCACTCCTGCACTGCTCCGGCGGCTTAGCATATTGGCAATGGGCGTCCAGGTGTTGATCTGGGAAGAGGCAATGTTTGTTTGTGAGCTAGATGTGCAAGTCATCTTCAGTGTACCCCTGCCAACCCAGTGCTGCGATATTAGTCCTGCTCTAACCACACAGCTCCTGACATAACGGTCCTCCCCCAAAAAGACTTTAGGGGGGACCCTAGTTCTTTCCTTTGACTCTCCCAGAGGAAGAGCTGCAGGCCCCAGGACAGACCTCTGCTGACTGGCTCAGGAAAGCACAGCCACAGCTGGCAGGAGTCCTGCCATCCCAGGGGCCTGAGCACAGAGATCTCTGTGCCAGGCCACCAGTCACGTCACAGCTGAATCCCAGCCCAGTCATGGGGGTTGAGCTGTATCTATTTCAAATCTGTACCAGTCACAACTGTGGCTTTACAGCTCATGAAAAACCTCCAGGACCTTCTCTTTGATCTTTTTGCAGTGATTTAGCTCTAACAGAGCTGTGAGACCCCAAGCCCAACACATGTCCCCAGCTTGCCACAATCCCTGCTAACCACTCTGGATGTGCATGCAGCAAGGACCTCAGCTGGAAGCTGGAAATAGCTCAGGGCATGAACAAGAACTGTTCTTCCTAGATAACTTGAGCTGGCCTACAGACAATGGGGAGAGAGAGTGTTCTGGTGGTTGAAAATCTCGAAGAGATATCTTGGAGCCTGCATGGATGAGCTGTGGCTCATTTTGCTCTGGATTGCACCCCTGGATACTCTGCCCCCGCAGAAGAGCTGGGGAAGGGGCTGATACCCACTCCATCTCATAGTCACGCATGGTGGCTTAACTCTCCCAGGAGGCAGGCAGGTCTGTGCTGCACAGGCTCATGTGGGTACGCCTTCTGCTCCACTGCTGCTGCAATGCTTTGCTAGGAAGTGGTCACATCTTAAGCTATGGCAGCGGTTTGCTAAGAGACCACGCATAGCTGATCTCTCACTGTCTGCTAAGTTCTCTAGCAACTTGTGTGGCCTTCAGCTTTCTGCAGGGCCCTTTCAGGCACCCATCAGAAGGGGAGAAGGAAAAGGGTTACCAGCCATGCTCTCTCTTGTATTTACCTGGGGCTCATACTTTTCTACTGTGGCTAAGTGGGATGAGCTGTCATATCCCCCAACGGCATAGAGGTTGCCTTCTGCAAAGACAGTCACGCACAGACAGGAGTTAGCTAAAGAGCATGGCCCCAGTCCCAGCACAGCCTCCCACAACTCTTGCCCAGGGTGCCCATATAGGCTCCCATATAGTAGCCGCAGTGCCTCCCGCTCCCCAGGCAGCCAAGCTCCTCTCAGCAGGGCTCCCCCAGCTCCCCCTCCCCTTGCAGCATGGAGCATTGTGAAATATTCATCAGGCAATTTCTCTGCCACACTGCAAGCTTCCCAAAGAGCTCGTTCGCCTGCCGCTTCTTGACCTCCTCATTATGGGAGCTGCAAGTGCTCCCCGCCAGAGCAAGGGGTTATTTTTAGCAGCGGAGGCTGGAGCAGGGGAACTCCAATAAAGGCCGTGGCAGGCAGAGAGTATGAGCTGGTGATGGAGGGGATGGAACCTCTGAGTCAGCACTGAGAGCTGAAACCAGAGAACAGGGCAGGAGAGAGGCACCACAGGGACACCGCACAGCAGTTCCTGGGACGATGGGGAGCAGCATGCTACCCTGGCATTCTCAGGGAGGTCCAGCACCCGCTAGGGTGGGGAGTGGTACCTGCATTAACCCCATAGCTGCACTAAACAATGAAGTGGCCAGTTCTCACACTGCATTCTCCTTAAGGACAGAACTCATTCAATACAGTTAGGAGACGTCACAGCATTGCACCTAATGTTGTGACACCCCTGGTAGAGACAGTTTTGACCCTGCACTACTACTTGGATCATCAGTAAAAGGACTGTCCTGCTTTCATAATGAAGAAGTAATAAGGTTGTCTCTTCCTTTCCAGGGATAGGTGATCATCCGCAGCCAGCCCTCTTGCTCCAAAGTAGAAGGGGCACAAAGGAACTGAGGAACAAGTTGTGGGTCCTCTCAGGAGTTGCCTCCAGAATGTGATGAAACCCAACTACTAAGGAGATTGAGGAGGAGGGCAGAGGCAGGGAGCATGTCAGGACACGGCAGAGGAATGGCTGGGCTACCTGGACTCACAGCTAGGGAATCTAGGAAGAAGGGGCAGGAACTAGAACAGAAGAACATCAAAAGGAACCACCAGAAATGCAAGAGACAGTCTGCACAGAAGTCAGTCAGATCCCATGCCATCACCCACCTAGCGTTGCCACCCGGACGTAGCGTCTCCTGGTGCTCATGGCAGCGATGGATGTCCAGGTGCCTGTCAGAGGGTCGTACCGCTCTGCGCTGCAGCAGGCAGGGACACAGGAACATAAGGTGTGACACTGGCAAAACCCAGGTCAAAGCTCTTTGACACAGGCCCTCAGGGGCAGCTCCCAATGAAGCTTGGGAATAGACAGGGAAAATGAAGGGAAGAACTGACAAAGGCTATGTTCTGTTGTGGCACAGGGCTACAAAATGGTTTTTCCCCTGAAGAAACTTTGCCTGTGCCAAAGACACTGGAAGACAGAGCTGGATTGCAAGACATCTACTCTGGGGCCAGTCCATCTGTCAGGAGCAGGCCTTGTGGGCTCCCCAGGCACCCAACGCCAAGGACAGTGCATGCAGGAGCAGTGGAGGAGCCTGTAGCAAGGCAATCCCCTACCTGTTCAGGCATGAGGCCCCATCGTACCCCCCAGCAGCGTACAGAAGCCCGTGAAGCGCTGCTACACCCAGGCAGCTCCTCCTGGTGCCCATGGACACCTCAGGTTGCCAGGAATTGGTGACAGGATCATAAGACTCCACTGTGGCCAAATCAGAGGTCCCATCGTAGCTGTAGGGAGAAAAAGAGGAGAACATGTAAGAGCTGGGAAGCCCGGATTGCAGCTGAGGCTGTGGGCTGGTCCTACACTCCAGAATTGACCAAGAGCCTTGGGTCCCTGCCACCACCCCTCCCCTCTCCCTCCTGCCCAGCTTCCTCAAGACAGAGTGCCCTAAAGCACTTGCTGAAAGTGCAGAGCCGTTAGCTGAGCTCTCCTGGTGCTCTGCAAAGAAAGCAGGTCTCAGAGGGCCCACACACACTAGGGCCGAGGTGGGCTAGGGAGTTAGCAGGCTCTTAACAGCCTGCAGCGTAGGGCAAATGGGAGGAAACAGCGCAAGTCCAGGACGTAGCCATCACCAAACAGAAAGCTAGCAAACTCACTGCTCGGAACTACGGAAGTAGTTTTCAGCTGCTACTCCTGCAGTTAGTAACCCAGAGATACTGGATTGCTTCATCCGGAGGCTGGCCCTGGGAGGCTCAGCTGGCCATCTCTGGTCCCAGAGCAGCTCTGTGCCGCTCTCCCCATCGGCTCTGTTCAGAGGCTGCTGAAGGCATCCCTGCCAGCTCCCTGCGCACGGCTCCCGAGCCCTCCTTACCCGCCCACAGCATACAGCTTGTTCCCAATGGCAGCAACGCCCACTCTGGCCCTGCGAGTCGACATGGAGGCCACCATGTGCCACCGATCCGTCCGCGTGTCATAGGCCTCGCAGTCCCCATGGATGGCGAACAGGCTCCCCCCACCTGCGCACGGGATGGCAAACAGAGCAAACAACAGTCCGAGGCCCTGGGAAGGGGTTTGCACGTATGTGAGCGCGTGGCAGGGCCTTACCCACAGCAAAGAGCACAGTGCTGGCCCCCTCGCAGCGCCGCGGCCTCGTCCTGCTGTTGCTAAGGACCCCTCTCTGCTCCGGCATGAGGTGGTACTTGAGGGCTTCGATCAGCAGGTCCTTGCATTCCGAGTGATGCCGCACCAGCAGCTCCGTGTCCACGTTGCTCATGAGGAAGTCCCGGCTCAGCAGGGGCAGCCGCCCGCACTTCATAAGCTGAAGGGACAGGAGGTGCACCCCGTCAGCAGGGCGGGAAGGGTTCGTCCCAGTGCTGCCCCGATATCTCCCCTACAAACCCCGGGGACCCTGGCAAGGCTGACTTCACCTGGAGATGTCATCCCGCTCGCTTGGCAGGACAGGCACCCGGTGACTAAGGGCACCAAAGCACATGCAGCAATTCAGCCTTAACGTCTCTGCAGAGCCAGGAGCCCTCAGCCTGGCCGTGACACGTCCCACAGCCACCCCAGATCCCCACCCTGCCCTCTGCCTATACCCACATCTTCTTCCAGCACCCATCCTACAAGCAACAATCCTCGCTGCAGAGCCCAGCATGTCCCACGTTGCCTGCATTGCCCACAGGAGGGATGTTTGGGTGCACAAAACCAGCAAAGGTGGAGACAGAACAAGCCCTGGGGTAGGTGGAAACGCAGGAGAAACCCTCAGACAGAGTATTCCTCATCCTGTCCCATCTCAGTCCCAGCCTTCGGGAGAACACCTAGGGATGCTTCCTCCCACTGCCTGCCTAGAAGCATGACAGCAGCAAGATGAGAGGAAGCCAGGGCTGCTGGAGGCACCGACAGCCACCGCTGCAGTGCGAGGCTGCACCCGTGAGAGGGTGCCCATGCTGTGCCACGCGCTGGCAGCCCCGCAGGAAAGGGCTTAACCATGTCTTCTCCGGTTGCACCTTTGGCAGGCAGGAGGCTAGCAGATCCATGCTCCAAGATGCAGATGCAGAGAGACAAAAGCATGAGTTAAAAGAAGTCCCTGCTCAAATTTGCCTGAGCTTTTTGTCTGAGGATGCATGTGAAAGGCTGCAGGCAGGGCTGACCTCTCCTGCTGCTCACACCCTCCCCAAAGTTCCGCGTGCCCAAGCTGCCAGGGGTCAGACAGGGCATCCCCCTTGGATTTGTCTATAGCTTGGACTTCACTCTGGAAGACTGAACTTTCTCGGCAACACCCTCATCTATACCTGGACCTATGCCTCTGGCCACCCTGCAGCTTCCTTCAGCCATATATCCACCCAGACCAGGCACTCAGAGCTGGTGGGTAGAACCAGGTCACCTTCCCCAGCAGACTCACCCTGGGGACATGCTGTCTTCTGCTGTCCACATCATGTTTGACCCAGCTGAGCACAGCCCGGTACACCTCCTCCTCTGATGGCACATTGAGGCTGTCACTAGAAATGAGGTCCAGTACCTGCAGAGCGGGGTGGAAAGGTGGTATGGTTTGGGAAGAAAGGACACATTCACACACCCAGGTAACTGGCCCAGCAGAAAAGCACTGCCAGAGGTAGAGCCGCTGCCTCCTGTAGATGCTGGTGGTTGAGGGTGTACAGCTACTCTCTCTCACTGGACGTAGAAGGATCCAAAGAGCAACCGGGTCCCCCAAACCAGGCAGGTGCAGCTGTGCCTCCCCTCTCCCTGCAGCACTGGTGTGGAGACAGTTCTGCCCTCGATCATCCTCCTTGGCTCATTACCCCTCTTTCTGTGTCTGAGGCTGCTGCAATGCCTGACACTTCCAATCAACATTAGTGAGATCAGGCAGACGACTCTGCTTGCAAGCATCCCTTCAATATTTCATGGGACAGAGCCAGGTGCCCTGGCTGTACCCAGCACGCTCGCTTCACCTGCCAAGGACGACGGAGCTGGAGCAAGTGGAGATATGTACCCTCCTCTTGCTGCCACACGCCCCACTGCTCTGAGAATGGGTGAAGGGAAGCATCTGTATGCTGGTGAGGGACCATATAGGGTCGGGTGATGCAGAGCAAGGACTGGGAATGCCTGCTGGCCAGCGCAGAGCACAGCACCCTGCAGGCAGTGATGAGCCAGGGGCCATACTGGCACCACATGAAAAGCAGCAGGAAACATTAGCTGAGCTCTGAATTAAACATCACAGCTATGTGACCAGGGCAGCCAGGACTTACTGCTTGGCCTGTGCTCCCAGAGAGAAGGCAGCGTGCTCAGAGCTCAAGCACCAGCAACAGCAATTATCCTCCGTGCTACCCTCCCATCCCTATTTCACATGGGATTAAGCTCGCTCTCCGACAGCACTGTTCTCGTGTATTCTCTCTCCATTGAACAGAAAGGACCAAAGCACAGAATCTGGGTACATCCCCTGCCAGACCCTGTCCCTCCAGGGCAGGTTCCTTGGGCTCTTGACATGCACACCGTGCCTTCCAGGACAGAGCACGAAAAGCCTTGCCACAGCCACACCTTCACACTCCCATCAGGACCTCACCTGTTTAAGAGGCAGCAACATGAACTCCTCCGTCTTGGACACCTCCACGAAGTGTTGGAGGACATACTTGTGCGCAGACTTGAGGAGGTCGCTGCAGGAGTGCGTGTCAGCAAAACCCCGGATCCCTAGGCAGTTGGATGGGTCGAGCTGGCTGAGTAGGAACTTGCAGCAAGCATCCCGCACACCATTGAGCTGAAGCAGGCTGGCAGCAGGAAGAAGTGTCTGGCAGTGGAAAAGAATGGGGGAAAAGAGAGTTTCCAGGGCAAGGAAACCATTTTCACCCTTGTCTCATTGCAAGTCAATAACAGAGCAGGCTTGCTGAGCACCTTCAGGCACGCAAGCACAGAGAGGACAAAGCATTCTTTGTTTCCAACAGGACTAAGCTAAAGAAGAGCTGAGAAGGACACCCATAACTCCCCACAGGGCCAGGAAATGGCAGGAGAATGGCAGATGCTCAGGACTAGACCTGGCCACTGCACGATACTTTTAGGAGCCATTCCCAGCCGCAGCAGTCGCAGCAGCCGCACCTCTGGGCGCAGGGGAGCAGATGAACTCCCTGACCACTGCTAGATGCAAGTGCCATCACAGAACAGCTGAAAGTGCTGAGCAGAGGGAGGGAGGAGCCCCCAGGAGGTAAGTCTCATACAGAACAGTTTTGAGGAGAAGAGAGATTTGGGGGGAAGCTCCTACCTGCACATTCCCCTCGCCCACCACAATCTCAGCCGTGTAAGCATATTGCACCAGCTGCTCCAGGGCCTGTGGGTCAATGTCGTGCAGCGTCACGTGGGTCTGGCGGCTCTCACTCATCTCATCTGGGGCAACACAGATACTAGACATGAACAAAGTCCCACAGCAGGATTGTTTCCCCACAGGAAGACTTGACCATGCATGGAACGAGCCGCATCCACCTCCACAGCCCAGCATCACAGCCCAGAAAGGTCTCCTGCCCACCTCTTAGCAAGGAGAAGCAGCAGTATATTCTAGGTAATGGGGTCCATGTCTGCAGGATGGTCATCAAGGTACCTGTGCATGGGGTTATGGGCAAAGGGCTTCATGGAAGGAAGCCAAATCATAGAATAGTTTGGACTGGAAGGGGCCTTTAAAGATCATCTAGTCCAACCCCCCTGCCATGGGCAGGGCCATCTTCAACTAGATCAGGATGCCCAAAGCCCTGTCCAACCTGACCTTGAATGTTTCCAGGGATGGGGCATCTATCACCTCTCTGGGCAACCTGTGCCAGTATTTCACCATCCTCATTGTAAAAAATTTGGAAAATGAGGAACATTACTGCACTTGCTCACAGAGATGTTATACAGGCATCATATTTCCATAGGGTAGGGCAGTGAGAATAGGGAGCAGGACAGAAAGGGGAGGAGGTTGCAGGGAAGAGGTGGTTTGAAGAGCAAGGAGACCCTGGCCATGGGGAAGAGAGGACACTACTTGCTTGTGAACATGGCGTGGAAGTACGGGCTGCAGGACGCCAGCACCACCTTGTGGGCCTTGATCTCCTTGGTGCCCACATGGAGCACAATGTCGCAGAGCAGCCCACGCTGACGCATGCGGTTCATGCACACGAAGGCGTCGTGATAGTGCCGCTTGGAATTGTGAGAGATGCTGTGGCCATCGCGGTTGAGGAGCTGCACACCCCCTTCCATGGCTGCAGGTGGTAGATGGTGGGCTTTCCCTTCTCAGCAGCACTGGCATGGGGGAAAACCAAACCATTACTCAGGCAAGAATAGCTCTAGTCCCAGACAATTCCCGTAGCCCCCAAGTATGCCTGCCAAAGACCCTGCACAAGAACAGCTCCTGTCCAACCAGCCCCTGCCAGGGAAACATCATCCTGCTCATAAACCACCGATGGGGAGAAGACAGTCCCTGGAAGAACACAAGAAATGCAAAGCAATGCTGAGACTCTGTTCTGTGACACTGCTTCCCAGCTGTGTTCATCTCTGGATCAATATCCTCCTCACCTGCCTTCAGAAGGGTACTGCTCTACAACATATGCGCTCACACTGGTTTTCCTTGAAGTTGCACCATCTCCAAATCCACCTAACAAGGTGCATTTCCATGCAATATCAGCAGAAGCATTGATCTTAGAAGTCTCACCAGGGCACGCCAGCCCTGCATTGATCAAACACAGCTTAAATAGACCACTAGAGACAGCGAACATGACAACCCTGATTAGCCTAAACAGAAAACAACCGGTGAATCCCATATCCTAAAAGGCAAGAGTGATGTTATGGACCACAGCTCTTCGAGTGGTGGCTGTTCCCTTCCAGCCTCCAGAAGACGCTAGGAGATTTGTAATGCACGCACCTGCCTTCAAAAGTTAAGCTCAGAGAGCTGCTGCCTTTCCCGAGCCCACACAATTCAGGAGGATAAGGCAGAGGGCAAAGGCAATTGCAGCACAGAGCTCTACAGCCCCAGTACAGAATCCTGCAGACCTGGGATTCGACTCTTCCTGACATTTTATATTTCAGGCCTCTTTTCGGACAGAGGCTGGGGATTCCCAGGTGGTCAGCTAGGGAACAGGATCCTGATCTCCACTTTCCTCCAGCATCCTCTACCCAGGTACGTCCGACCTCACCACTGCTTCAAGGCTGCACCAAACAGTCCTGCTCCAGCACCACAGACTCCTGTTCTTCGCTAGCCTAGCAGGCAGTTTGGGCAAAGCAGAGCTCCTAGATCTCCCTTGAAGCAGCCCCGGCTGAGACCCTGGCTGTCCTTCCAAGAGGTAACTTTGAACTTCAGGTAGTTTTTGTTTGACGAGGCTGACAGGAGGGACAGACAGCAAAGAACAGAGATGCTGATCGGGCGGCTGGGACCCGATGCAGAACTCAGTCTGTGCATACACGTACACGCCACTGAGCGTGGAGCGGGACAGTCCTTCCACACACTCCGGGACAGCCCAGGCAGGGAACAGGAGTATAAACTTGATCGGCTTGCAGAAAACAAAAATTGCCTAATCAAGGAACAAGGGCATTTATTTGTGCAAAGATGTTTTCTCTTTCCATGCTGTCTGCATCTAGGCTGCTCATAGTGTTTCGAAAGGCGTTTGACTGTCTCCCTGCCAGCAGCACCCGAAGGAAAAGGTGGGGGAGTGAAAAGAGAATGACTGAGCAGCAGGAGGAAGAAGGAGGAGGGAGCAGGAGAAAAAGGCATCTTGAAGAAAAAAAGCCTGTGTGCTGCACTCGTGCGCCTGCCCCCGCATCCCTGCGGCGAGAGAATCCCCTCAGCCTCTCTGCTCCTCACGACACCTACACGTCGCCAGCCGTGCTGAGCCTAAAAATAGAAACCCACCATGCTGTGCCTGCTCAGCCACAAATGCAGCCATCTATTCATTTTTAAATAGCAATTGTATCGTGTACTAGAGTCTGGGGGAGGAAAAAAGATGAATAAACATCTTTCCTGAGCAGGAGAGAAGCCTGCAATGCCCTCTTCTATTTGCATCATCCTGTGTGATACGAGATTCCTCATCTCTGTCAGCGGGGAGGACTCACGGGCACACAACAAAGGCAGCGCCTGTTGATGCTTTCCAGCAATGAGAGTAGGATGCCACCGTGCCCTTGACAGGAAAGAAGTCATGAGTTAACCGGCCTTCTCCTCCCACACCCTTCAGCCAAGCTTTTCAGAAAGCTGCAACATCCCTAGAACACCCTCAGTGCGTTAATTCACACGCGTGGACACTGATGAGAGGTGCCCGCACGAAGGCAGTTTATAATTATTAGCATCTCTACCTGGGCTCAAGAGCTCCTTTCCCAGACCTGCTGTAGTGGCAGAGAGCAAACGGTGCTTTCTCGCCTTTATTCCCCTTCCCAGCTGCAAGCCTGAGGGTTTTCCTGATATGCTCGAGCTGGTTTATCTTTTTAATACACTGCTGAGCATACTTCTCCCCATCAGTATTTAAGTCATGCCCCAGATGTAATTGAGAGCACTTGCCTCACACCTCCTGGGTGCTGGTAGCAAAGGATGGGAGGTCCCAGCTCCACCGCAGTGGGAGGACCAGAGGGGGGACAATGCAGGACAGGACAGAGGAGCAGGGAGAAGATGGGACTGCTTCTCATTGCGCTCTTGGAGACTGCGAGGAAAGGTTTGCTGCCCCGGCCTGGCCGGGGGTAGCACACAACTCAGCTCCAGCGGTCAGGGGAGACACAGAGGGCACAACAGACTGAAGGTTGCTGTAGCCAATGTATTGGCATCAAAGTAATCAAACGCATTTCCAAAGAGGGTCAGAAGTGCTGGGCTCTCTTCCCAGCCCTGCCACTGAGTCATTGCACAATTCTGGGCAAGTACAAATGCAGAGAGTGACAAGGGTGACATTACCTTTCCTTGCAATGATTCCCATGGCCAGGAGGTAGAGACCAGCTATCGTCCACCGCCCTTTCCACCCACACCCGGCTGCTGTCACCAGCGAGGGCTGGCACACACCTCCCAGAGCTCTAAAGAGCTCGACTGAAACACCACCGGTGCCTCCCTCGCCCACGCCGCTGTGCAGCACCCTGAGCTACACCACCGCAGTGTCACTCGGTCTCTGACGTGACGGAGCAGGGCCAGAGGGAGATGCCATCCCAGCCACCACACTGCCACTGGGCTCCCAAGAGCATCCCCGCACCAGGGGACAGTCACCAGCTGACCTGACCCGCAGGCAGCCTGAACCAATTCTGCTTGATGTTTTTTTGCTACAGCTTCAGCATTCCCCCCGCGGAGAGCAGCTCACCCACCCACCAGCCACCTTGGGAAAAGGCCACCATCCAGAAGCACAGGGCACGGTGGCATGGGTCTGGCCTAAGGCTTGCAGTGGGTACAGCCCCTTCAGTCCCACTTCCCAGTGTCCCCTCTGCTCCGCAATAACTTGTTCCCATCCAAGCTCTTTTGCTTTAAAGGGTCAGAATATAATCAGTGGGGAAAAAGAGAAAGGACACCCCACTGCTGCTTGTGCTGCTCCCTGTGCCTGAACCCTCAGCCTCACTGGCAGCACTAAATATTCCTTATTTCCTTGTAAAACTTCATTCCCAGGAAATGAAGGTCTATGAGCACCGCTAAGATATAATTAATGGGGAGCAGTGCCTGGACCACAAGAGACAGTAAAGCAGTGTCCAGAGCTCCAGCGGGGGGAAGTAAATACAAGCCCAGTTTTGTGGAGCATGCAGCAGCATGAATGCACGTGTTATGCATCAGCTATAATGGATGCGGTGGCTGACTTGTAATAACTCTTAGGTTATGACAAAAAAAAGAAGGCGTTTGTTTGGCTCCTATGCGACAGAGCATGGCCACGCATAACAGCTCTGTTAATTAATGCAAATGATCCCTGCCCAAAGGGAGGTCTGTTCTCTTTGCACAAAAAAACATATTTTGCCGAGAGTGAAAAGAAGCATGCTGAGCAATAAACAGGGAACAGAGTATCCTCCAGGGAAAAGTTCAGAGCCTGCCCTTTCCCCAGGAAGGCCCTGGAGAATGGCTTTTTGTTGACAGCCTGGATGGACATTTTGTGTCCGCCAGGCCAGCTAGGAGACTGCAAAAAACACATCCTGTACAGCTGGTCAGATGTTGGGGACGAGTCTTTGCTGTGGATAAGGTGACATCCCCTCCTCTAAGGCATGACATGCCCTAAGGCCTGACATACAATCATGCTTAAATCCATCGCTTCCCCGTGTGCCCTATCCCTATGTTGATATCCCAGTACCTCTTTGCTGGTAAATCAGCTACAAAGCCCTTTTTCGTGCGCAAGCGCTGCATCTCCCACAGAAGTGCTGCCATTAGACCTTCAGGATAAGGCATTAAGTCCTCGCTGGCACTCATCTCTACCCCAGCGTGTCACAGCACGAACAGAGCAGAGGGCAGCACAAACCAGGTCAATAAGGTGGCACCATGTTGCCAGTTTCCCCTTCAGAGGAATGGTTCCCCCCCTTCCTTGGCGTTGGGGGTCCATCTCCCAGGCACAAAGTCCCTTTTTTTGCCTACAGACCTCCTCTGGCTCTGTCCCCAGGCAGGAAGGGACTGCCGGCAGCGCTACTCTGATGTGCCCAGCAGCTTCAGATCTCCATTCCGGGCAATGGAGCCAAAGCCCTCCACAACAGCACAGCAAAACTCATCCTGGGGCAGAGCAATAGCATGGACCCCTGGGGAAGAAGGAGCTTGACACTGGAGTCACAGGCTGGAATTGGTGCTTCCAAGTGCATCTCCATCTCCCCTACACCAGAAATCAGAATTCTTATTTTTAAGCCCTCTGAGAGGAGTCACAGGCCATTTGCCAATAAGCAGCCTCCTGCAATTCAGCATTCCCCCAAAGAACTGAAATGTGCAATTCACATTAAAGCTCAGGGCAGGACTGGACCGGGGCAGCGTACGGGGGCACAGGCAAGCCCCTGCCCAGCTGTCTGGGTGTGCACACAAGCGCAAGTAGCTTCTTTCCTCCTGGGAGCAGGGCTGGGAAGAAGATGTGCTCCTGTGTTCTCTTCCTTCCCTTCAACAGTCAAGGGACACAAACAGCTGAGCCGGCAGTAACAATAGCTGCTGTTGTGCTGTTGCAAAGTAAGACCGCTAATACAGCTCGTACCAGCATCCAGAGATGCAGCTGAGTACACTGCAGGCCTGCAAATTTTCACCTTCCTTATTGCTTTGTGGAGGCCCAATTTGGCTGAGCTATCCCTTTTGTTGAACCCTGTCCACGGCGCTGAAGC